GAAGCCTTTCAGGTTGTCTACCGGACACCACCCAACTTCTCCAAGGGCCTACGCCAACGGGTGCTGGCAACGGTGGAAGCAGTGGCTATACGTCTAATGAATCCAGTACTCTGCTGTCAGAAAACTCTAACACAAGCCCTCTACCTTCCGTGGCCGATGCCTACGACAGGTGACGATTGCACATCGCCCCCAGCCACGAGTGACAGTCAGTCGCCCAATATGCCGACCACTTGCGCAGACTGACAAAGTCCGCAGTGGCCATCAGGCGCTCACCTAGGACAATTATTGATTTTTTTACACCTTCAAATGTTCTTTGTTTTTCAAACTTAAAGGCCTGACGTAGAATTGCCAAAAAACATGTTTTGCCTAATAAACTGACTTTTTAATTTAACCATGGGAATATTTACCAAATCTAAGAGGTGTCAGATATACCTTTGTTGGACAAGGATTGCCCTATGACTGACGTTCAGTCGGTTTTATATCTGGTGAAATGTAGTGGTATGGTCGATGCATTTTTTTGTTTTGCGAAGTTACCGTACAAGGCGTCCCTTTTAATATTATAGCAGTAAATTAGGTATCATAAGTAAGAGAAGAGATAGGGTGGTTAAATAATTACTATTTACTTTCATAAGTACATGTAATTTTCACGAAAAATTCCGAAACTAAGGTATTGGTAAGGTATGTTGAATATAAGCGTGTTTAAGGCATATGTGTGCAAAATACTGGCAAATTAATGCAGAATAAATACAAATACAGAATCTATTTACGTTGCATAGTTTCCATTAACAGTTAAGATAGCATTAAGTGTGTCAGATGAAGATGTGGCAAAATTTTGTAAACTGAGTTCTTTCTTTTTTCTTGACAATAATTTGTTATCTCATGCGTATGCTTACCTCAATTCCATGGACGCAAAACAAAACGTGCTTTTTGTTAACACATGATTATAATTACTGCTCCCTGTGAATATCCTTTAATAGTACAACATGCGCAATCAAGAAGCTTTTTTCGCGGCGGTTAATAGCGTACAGAATTCCCTGGATATCAACAAACGCTGGATTTCGCCCAGTTTTGCCCTTGTTTTCTCCAGGTATATTGGTCTGAACGGAACACATTTCTAGTAAACAGCATTTTGCGCATCAAGCCAACCCAATGAACAAAATAAACAATCGCTAATGTGTGTTTTATTCCCCGCTCAAATTTCGATCTTCACATGTCATCAGACATGCAATCTTGTGTATGCTCAATGCTTATACTAATTATAGCAGCATGATCAGGTAATTTTTGTAGCATGTACATTTTGTTCTTAGTGTGCTTATATTCGTTCCACCATGTCAACCTTATTGTTTAACAACCGAGAACGTTGATTTGTTAGCGCTATTAGGCTTAGCTTCACTACGATAAAAACACATTCAATCTTTCGATGTCCATCCTTCGCTCCTAAATGCCCGTGTGTTTAAAGATAAAAGCTATCGGTAGATAATTATACCTCAACATATTGGGCTGGTGTTTTAACCTACCTGCGAAAGTTACCATTATTATTCATTTAATATTTACCATTTATTTACCATTATTATTTATTTGCTGAATTTGACCTAAAATTGTTTGCTGATTATCTATGAATATCATTGCTTCGTATTACTTTTTCTTCCTAACGGGACTTATGAATGCCAACCAAGATGTTTGAAACTCAAATAAGGAAGAGCATTCATTTCCAAATCTGTCCTAGAGATACAGGGCCTCCGAGAGAAACGCATTTTTATGCAGATTATTATGTGGACACACTTTCCTTATCTGCTGCAACTTATACAGAATCATGCGCACTGACTACATGAATTCTCGCGTTCATGTCATACAACAAATGAAGAGTTTCGCAGGTCGTTGTAAACACCATCTTGAGATGGCTGGCCATCTTGAGATGGCTGGCACGCACACTGATGTCCGTGGGGGCTACACCGGCAGTCGATTATCCAGCCTATTTAACTGCAAGCATTATCAGGGTGACTTATCTGTTGGACGAGGCTAGCTAACCCATGGCGTTTTATTTGATCTTTTATCTACACAGTCGACTGCACGCCTGGCTTACAACTGCGCAAAATTTAAAAGTAAAATAATTGCTTAGGGGTATAAAGATAGCCTTAATGAATAACCTGTGGTGATGCATTGGCGAAAAACAATGACCGAATTCCAGTTCGGTGGCAGTAGACAGTTGATGTGAAGGCATTCAAGTTGCTCATTCTGGGTGCAATCATGTCAGTCTTCCTAGGTTCCAACAGCACAATCCGGGCTACGTGAATGCTAATTATTTACGGCCTATTTACATGCCACAAAAATATAATATTTGCGTGAAAGCCGTAGCCAAACACGGTGCCGAATGATCTTGTCTCGTGCCAAGTGTTGCTATAGCATTCTTGTGATTGACAATGGCAGTTGGTAGAACAGAAAGTGATCGGATTACTCGTCAAACTTTGTTATTCAATGTCTCTAGTGTAGGGATTGTACAAGGAAATGCCTTTCTCCCCATTCCAAGAAAGCATGTGTTCTGAAGGCCGATTGCGTATCACTTTTTGCTACGTTGGCATTCATTGTGCGAGTTATTGCAATTTAAAAAACATAAGCTGTCCTTCGGGGGGGCGCATACGTAACACGGGTTTGTTTCGGGGTCACATTACTTCCGATTTTTGGGGTATGGCTACAACTGCCTGTTTCTCAATTAAACGTGGTCCTCGGATAGATTGAAGGCAGCTAAAGGGAAGGATATTATTAATGGTAGGGTTATGGTGGTTAAATTTCGGAAATGAGTATCTACGGGCAACAAATGATGGGAAAAGTGCCTAACTAATTTCCAAGCGTCTTCTATGATTGAATATATGAGCGTTAGAGCGGAACAAAGACACGGCTATCAGCGTCGAAAACGAGAACAGCTACCACTAAAAGGTCACCAACAGGTATGAGTAGGAATGATTTACCACTATTGAGCATTCAGCTCAGGCGGTGGACATCTCAGCAATTGCTTTATCAACCTAAGAATATGCCATTTATGTTCACGTGAGGTAGATTGTGGTGAGATTATTGCTTGCCTTATAAGCATTTGGGTAAGCATTAGATAGGACAGGGTTGGTTTTAAATTTGGAAACCGTAAATATAATATAGTAACAACACCACACAGGGGAACAGCGACTTAACATCTCCACATCTGTGGTTGTTGATGTTCAGCAGTTCGAAATCCTCGTAGAAGAGTGATGCGTCTCGACTTTAGCAGTTGCATTTGACAGACAAATTTTGTATCTACTGCATTTGGTGTCGCAAAGCACGGGTTTCCTTATTTATATGGACTCTGACAATGTAGGTTGTATTTAACGATACTTGACAGACGGAGATCACCTCGCCATGTATCCTATTCTTCGACATTACTGCGGGCTTTTTAAATTGAGCCGCCATTTTTCCCTCCCACAATCGCATTAAAATATTCCTATACATACTTCGTTTGGCCTACTACGCCCATTTTAAACCCATTTTGTATCCACACTTGCTTATTTGAACTAGAAAGAAGTAAGCAAAGTAAGATAGTAGCACGATTTTGAAGGAATTCCAATTTGGCCTATATGTTGCGGTTTTTTTAAGAAAATC